CACACACACACACACACACACACACACACACACACACACACACACACACACACACACACACACGTGTCTGACTCTGTGCTTCGTCCTGCAGCCCCTCCACCAGTAACAACATCCCCCTGATGAGGGTGGTCCAGTCAGTCAAACACGCTAAGAGGAAGAGCAGCAACGTGATGAAGGAAGGCTGGATGGTCCACTACACCAGCAAAGACACTCTGGTACCGGGTTTCAAACCTGCAACCTCACACTGAGCCACCACGATGCTTTTTTWAAAAACATTTTAAAGTTTCCTAATAAAATCTGACAGTTTTGTTTAATCTTCCTCTTCCTGGTCTCCCTCTGTGTTTCAGAGGAAACGGCACTACTGGAGGCTGGACAGTAAATGCATCACGCTGTTCCAGAGTGACACAGGCAGTAAATACTACAGGGTAACACCTCCTCCCTCTGCTTTCTGTTCTTACCTCTGTTCAACACCTGCCAGCACAGAGTTGCAGGTTCAACTCCGGGTTGGTGTGTGTTTGTGTTTCAGTGTGTTGTTCGTCTCTCTGTCTGCAGGAAATCCCCCTGTCAGAGATCCTGACCCTGGAGCCGGCTCAGAACTTCTCTCTGCTCCCTGAAGGAGCTAACCCTCACTGCTTCCAGATCAGCACAGCTTCACTGGTTTACTTTGTGGGAGAGAACCTGGTGCGAGGAGACACGTCTGTGTCGGGCAGCACCATCCTGGTGAGGTCCAGATCAGTTCATTAGTTCAAACTGGTGATGTGCAGATCGATACTGAAACATCGATCATATCGGTCATGAAAAGGCACTTTGGTAGGTCGGAAGTCGTYGGCACTTTTACCAAATTTCCCTCTGGGATCAATAAAGTATTTTTGAATTGAATTTGAATTTGAAAACCAAACAAAGTGATGAAGAGTTCTGCAGATGTTAAACTCTTATTTAGATTTTGTTTTTTCTTCTGGACTAAATGGTTTTCATCAAGGTTCAGTTTCATGTKTGGTGTTCTGATGTCCACTACTGGATACATATTAAAAATAAAAACTTTTCTTCAGTATTCTAGCTCCCTCACAAAGATTGTGGAATTTAAAAATAATGTAATTGATCCATATTTTTCCTGGCATTCAGTAAATAAAATTCAAGCTGCTGAAGTCCTGATGCATCTCAGTAATCCAGGTAAAAAAAATCAAAAATAAAAAAATA